CCATGTTTCCCCCCCCCCCCCACAAATTTAAACCCATTCTCTTTCTCTCTCTACTCATAAATTTTAATGCATATATTTTTTTTTTTACTTAGCAACTAATTAAATTCTTAATCTCAGCATAAGCTAAAATGGAATAATTGAATTGGATTGGAATGAATAATTCATATAAATGTGGACACACAGAGAGAGGCGTCAACTCAATAATGGCGGATTCGCATTAATGCTTCACCCAAGTTTGCAATACCCCATTACTGAAGCCACCACAAATATATATATATATATCTATATATATATATATATCTATATTTATATGATATAATAAAATAATATATTGGAAAGTGGCTTCAAACTCAAGCTATTTTCTTTAATAAACACTGTGGATCTCTATCAACTTATTTTAAAAGAAATTGAGGTTTTTGGGTTTGATAATAAGTCAAAATTGGAAAATTGACGAATATCTCTCTTTCATATTAGATAATTAATGAGCATTGGAGTTTGGAAATCATGTGAACTCAATCCAATGACTACCAAATTGCTTCTATTTCATTTGTATGACTAACATTTTTTATTTTTTAAATTAGTAATTGATTTTTTGTTTTACCAAATGGGTTTTTTATTTTATTTTAAAAACCTTGTCATTATCTTTTTAAAAGAACAATTAAAAACGGTATAAAACCAAAAAAAGCCAAAAAGTTGTGTAAAACCAATAATTAAAGAGGGAAGCAGCAAACTCAAAAGAGCCGAAAATAAATTATTAATGGAAAACAAAATCTTGAAGATCTCATCAAATTAATGAACTTAAACGTGCAATATAATGGACTTTTTTTTTATTTTTTTTAATTTTTAATTTCGTGTCTTTTAAAGTAATTTTAAAAAATTATGTAACCAGTTTATTCTTATCGTTCCTAATAGAAAAAAAAAGTTACATCAAATATCAAATCAAACTATTTCCTAAAGTTTATTATATTTATTTATTATTTTTTTTTTTACTGCAAACTAAAATGGGTATAAATTATAATATGTTAATTATTTAATAAAATACTAAATAACGATTAGAACCGAGCGCGTTGACCTGTAAGAATAGGCGGTAACCGGCAGAGTTTGGAGAGAGAGAGAGAGAGAGAGGAGAGAGTTTGAATTTGGAAGCAACAGTGTGGGCTTTTGATTGCAGGGCCTCTCCTTTGATTGCAGCATCGGCGACTTAGAACATATAGAGAAATCACAGAACAACAAATGTAACATGCCATCCATTTTCTTCGTCTTCTTCTTCTTCTTCTTCTTTGCAACAACCTTTCTGCAATTTCTTCTACCTTCTTAGTTTGTTCTTCAGCTTTTCTCTGGATTCTGTTTCTTCGATTACAATGGCGGGTTGGAGAAGAGCGTTTTGCACTTCCATTCCTAAGCACACGGACACCAATGAAGCCCAAACCCCACGAATCACCACCTCTAAATTTGGGTTTTTCTCTAACCCATCAACGCCTCGCTCGCAGCCGGAGCCGCCGGGCCTCGGTCTCCGCTGCAGAACCTCTGTTGCTACTGATTCTGCAGATTCATCCACGCCCAATCTTAACCAGAAGAAAAGCAGTGGCTCCAGATTCTTTCAGTTTTCGAACCCTTCTTCGCCCAAATCCCCTTCTAGTTTCTCCTTCGTTAAAGCTGGATTACGGCTGTCTAAGGTAATTCACCTGTTCTGTATCTGTGATATGCTCTGTTCTTTAGGGTTCGATGAAATTGTGTCCAATTCACTCAACTTCTCTCGCTTTCACTTTGCAGAGTAGGTGTGGAATCTGCTTGCAAAGCGTGAGAAGAGGACAAGGAACCGCCATTTTCACGTCGGAATGCTCCCACTCCTTTCACTTTCCTTGCATCTCTGCGCACATCAAGAAGCATCGGACTGTGGCTTGTCCTGTTTGCAGCTCTCTATGGAACGATGCTCCGTTGCTTGATAATCAGAACCCTCAGAATCAACCAATCCACACGGAGAAGACGAGAGGAGTCCAACCGATCAAACTCGGAGAGATGAAATCGAAGCCGCTGAAAGTTTACAACGATGACGAGCCTTTGATGTCCCCAACTTCCGGTGGTCGATTCAATCCAATACCGGAATCGGACGAAAACGATGACGATGAAGAGCAGGATAGCGCAGTTGAGTTTCAAGGTTTCTTTGCTAAATCTGCACTATTAGCGTCTCCGAGATTACGTAACATTGTGAAAAATGTAGAAGTGAGTTTATTGCCTGAGGCGGCGGTGGTCGCAGCCGGTCGGGGCTATGAGACCTATGCGGTGGTATTGAAGGTGAAGGCGCCGGCAAGATCCGTAACGACGTCGTCTTCGCCGACCAATCGGAACCTTCGTCCGCCGATTGATTTGGTAACCGTTTTAGATGTTAGTGCGAGCGCGAACAGCGTCAAACTCCAGATGGTTAAACGCACCATGCGGTTGATTCTTTCTTCGCTAAGTTGCTCGGATCGCCTCTCGATTGTGGCGTTTTCTTCCAGTTCCAAACGGTTGTTGTCTCTACGGAGAATGACATCCAGTGGTCGCCTATCGGCGCGTCGAATCGTCGACTTGCTCTGCGAAGTTGGCCAAGGAGCGTGTGTTAACGACGCAATCAAGAAGGCAGCGAAAGTTCTCGAAGATAGGCGTGAGAGGAATCCCGCCGCCAGTATCATCCTCATTTCTGACGGACAAGATGACCTTGTCGGAGCTTCTTACTCCGGCAATAGCAAAAGATCGGCTCCGGTCGTGTGCTCCACGCGCTTCTCGCACCTTGAGATTCCCGTTCACGCCATTTCCTTCGGCGATGGCCCCGCACCGCCGGAAGACGCGTTGGCAAAATGTGTTAGCGGCATGTTGAGCGTGGTGGTACAAGATCTCAGACTCCAACTCGGGTTCGTATCCGGTTCATCTCCGGCCGAGATTGCAGCGGTCTATTCCCTCTCCAGTCGCCCGACGGCTCTCGAACCCGGTTCAATCCGGATCGGGGATCTCTCTTCTGAAGAAATCCGAGAAATGCTAGTGGAATTGAAAGTGCCAATTTCGTCGCTAGGGACTTGCCCCTTATTGTCCGTACGATCCACGTTCAGGGACACGTCATCACAATCTCAAGGCCTTATTTGTTCTAAACAAGTAATCCCAGTACCCAGGCCGCGGGCCGTCCGATCATCCGGCTCCAACATCGAACGGTTGAGGAATCTCCACGTCACGATCCGAGCTGTAGCGGAATCGCAGCGGTTGATGGAACACCATGATTTCTCGTCAGCTCAACACTTGCTGTCATCGGCTCGAGCCTTGCTTATGAAACAATCCGGCTCCACATCAGCTAGCGAATACTTAAAAGGCTTGGACGCCGAGTCAGCCGCGCTGAGCCGCCGAAAACAAGTACATATGCAAAGCCAAAGGCAGAACCAGAACATCATGGGAGGACGAGATGCAAGCCGAGTAGACGAGAAGTATGAGCCACTTACGCCGACGTCGGCTTGGCGTGCCGCGGAAAGACTAGCTAAAGTAGCGATTATGAGGAAGTCGATGAACAGAGTCAGCGATTTGCACGGCTTCGAAGATGCCAGATTTTAATTCAAAATCAAAACAATAATAAAAAAATCATAAATCATTCTTGGAAATAAAAAAATAATAAAAAAAAATTATGATTGGACTAGTGGGAATGGGCCCGGGCCTAGAATATGGACAAGAGTACAAGACGGCTTGGCCCTTTTCCCTTTCTTTTTTTTCTTTAATTTTTTTCCTTTTTTTTTTTAATTTTTTTGTATTTTGGGCATTGGCAGAGGAAAGGAGCAGTAAAGTGGGAGTAAAAAAGGGGACCCAACAAAGAAGAGAGATAGAAGAGTGAGGTGATGGATTGAGTTACCAGAAGAAATTGCATTATTTTGAGACCAAAGTGTATCCAAAAAACTCAGGCTGCCCCATTCTGTTTGTTTCTTCTGAGTCTTGTAAAAATTTGAAGATATGATAAAAAGCTATTATATTATCAAATGAACTTCCAGCATCTCAAGTTTTGTACGTTTGTTTGGAAATTTGAAGAACTCTTTCCTTGAAACTGGATTTGTTTTCGGAGCATTTAAGAATTTGGGATTAGTTGGAAGCGTGATGAGAAGGGTTTATATTAATAAAAAAGGGTATTTGCTTGGACTCATAATGAAGCAAAGCAAAGTATTTGGTTACACTATACAGCATTTGGATTTGGAAGTGATTGATATGATATTGTCTGAAGGCATATCATATATATGAATGGGTTGATATTTGGATATCAATATCTTGGCCTCACTATCTCACATGTGGCGCACTACCAATTCTTTACTCTGTCAAATGTCAAAAAAGAAGAAAAGGAAACACACTCTGGATAGCCTCAAACATCATCAGTAGAGAGAGAAGAAGTAGAAGAAAATGAAAGTGCTGTATCCATATCTGTTTCACATCTTTCAGAAGAGACCGAAAGAGGGATTTGAGACCAAAATACAATATAAAAGCTGATCCCCTTCTTTTCTGGAGTCTTCATTTCTTTTCCCCTGTCAAACCCAACCATTTTTCTTGATTTTTACTACCCATTACTTAAATAACATGTATATATATAAACTTAACAAAGACTTGCTATGGGATAAGTGTAATGGACAGGAGCAAAGAACAAGGCAAATAAACTATTCCCCATACCTATTATTAAAAATTGATTCAGAAAATTAATTATTTCCATCTCCAACTCGACCATATTTCAAATGGAAATTCACCATGGTCGGGAAGGGACTTACCTATAGTTGGGTTAGTAAGAGCTTTCTGCTACAAATATGAGAAATACACAAAAGGAGGGGAAAAAAAGCCAGATTTTTAGGGATGGCATTAGCCTGTTAGGTCGAGAGGGAAGTTTTGATCTTCAAGGTACAACCCCACAAGTTTTTAGGGATGATATGAGCCTGTTCGAGGAGAAAAATAATGAATCAGTAAGGTCTATGGCTCTTGGTCTACAACTTCAATAGCTAGATTAAACTGCAAGCATTATTATAAGAAAGAATCTTCGTACTATTATAGGCTTAGAGATGAATAAATTCTAGAGAAAGATTCCCACTCCACCGTCAAAACATTCCCAGTCCCACTTTTTAAACAAATCACAGGGAGGGACTGAATATCTTTGATATCAAGGTCAGCACAAAACTCAACACATTAATGGGGAAAAAAATGCCTTTTCAACGGCCCTTCAAAACCAAAAAAGGAGGGAAGGTAAGAAAAGGATTGGACTGAGAGGGGAGGCTGTTCTAAGCTTTCATTTCCTGAGGGTTTCTTTACTGCGCTTTTTGGAGGGCAATGACCTCCTCCTTAATTTGCGCAGACTTTTGGAACCAATTATGATGAGTGGTTTAAGCTCCTTTGCTTTAGTTTTGATAATGCATTGGCTGAAGGAGCATGAATCATGTCGGTGAATAATTCAATAATAAGAGTAGTGTGTGTGTGGGTATCGACATCCCCCTTAGTGCTCACTGCCCATCCTATTTATTCAAATAAAAAATGGGGAGAGTGCTCCATCATCATCATCCCTACGTCTGTGGGCGCAGACAAGGTCTCCATTTTATGAGACACAATAAGATGAGAAGATGTAAAAGTTGGTAATCAGGAAGTAAATTTTACTCCGAGTATTTCATTTTTTTTCTTCCAATTTTCATGTGTCCTCCTCTATGGTATGTTACATGAATCATTCTGTTCAGAATATACAATAGTAGAGGAACAAGTAAAATCATTGGCTATAGATTTCAAAGAAACGTATGAACTTTTCACTATACACAGGGGTAAGAGAAGAATGATCGGTTTGACATAACTTTCAAAACAGTGGCAATTGGTTTTAGACTTTTGGTTGGTAAGAACCTATAAAAGTTTTAAAAAGTACTCCAAAACATTACTAGAAGATAAGCTCTTTCTTCAAAAGTATTCAAAAAAAATTCCTTCAGTTAAAAGTACTATATGAACTCACCTTCAATATTCTCCTCGGATGTGTTCTGCTGTAGCCCGTCTTTGATTGGAATAGTGGGGTTTACTGGGAGCATGGATCTGTAATGGTCTAACCACAAATCCACCATCGCCATCGTCAAGGCCGAATGATGATGAAATTAGGCCCATGGCCAACCAACACCTGAAGAAAAGGCCACAAAAACACCCAAGAGCTGATATATAAATGTTTCAATTGATAAAAATCTAATTATCTAAGATTAGTGCTCATGCTTCCCTGATCTCAATTATACTTTGTAGGAAAGAAAAATGGAGAATATATATTTATTTGATAGGAGATGAGCTCCAGAAGCAGCTAAGCAAACTCCCATGCTGTAAATCTACCAAACTTAAAAGATGTCTGTGGAGTGAGTTGCTCTAAATTCCCAACATGTAGAAAGAATATGTATTTACAACCAATACAGCAACAAACAGTACACAACTGACCATCATTTCCCCCCATTTCACACCCCCTTTGTTACACCATACAACTAAATCCAGCAAATATCGGTTCAGTTGAAGAGAGGAAGTTTCATACAACATTAACCATGACTTTTGTGTATGTGTCAAAAGTACAATTGCCTACACCGTGTAGCATCGATGTCTGTAGGACAATACGGGCACTTAAACGATTTTGTGCTGTTTTTAGACATCTTCATGATAGACTGCTTACAGAGGACATGTCCACACAGCATCAACATTGGTGGATTTTCTTCAGTTGACTGTTCCTTTGACACCGGACAAACAAAGATGGAATGGAACTGAAATTCTCTGCCCAACTCCACCGGCACAGGCAACTGCTTCATAGATTGCCATTCCTGTTTCTTCCCAGCCATGACATTCATAAATTTCAAGAGGGGAGGCAAGCCCTGGACCCCTGCTGCAACTGTCACGCCCAATGGGCTCTCGTAGGACTGACCAAGAAAATTGCAGAACTGTCTTATAAGCTCCTCAGCAACTTTTTCCCAATTGGTTACTGACAATAATTGTGATTGGGAATATGGGGAGCAATCAAGCCTTCCAGTCCACAAGAGGCAAGCCATAAGCTTCTGAAGTTCAGCCAGGTGGTTAGATGCAAGAGGGGCCAGGTACGTCCTAGCATACTTCAAAGCGTCATGTCTATCTCCATTCTGTAGAATCTCCATGAACTGCATGCTATGAAGTTTGAGCAAAAGATCTGAACCACATTCATTAAGTTTATTTGAGTTATTCAGAGCCCAGTTCAGAGCTGGGTCTAGATTCCGGGACTTCATGGCTTCAAGGATCTGATACATTTCCTGAAATGGAGATCTCATCGAGGCAGCAGATTCTGATTCGCCAGCCTCACTTATAAAGCAGTCACCGAGTTCAAACATACCCTGACGATAGAAATGACTAGCAATAATCTGGTTAACAGTATGCCTATCAAAATCAACATTTCTATAAGCTTTCGATATATCTGGATTGAAAGATTTTTCAACAAGCTTTGGATACTTGGTCAAAGCGGTATTCAACTCCTTCTGCGTGCTTTCAAGCTGAGTGAGTGGGGCAATATCTTTTAATTTAGTTTTGAGTTCAGAAAAAACCGACTTCAGATCAACTGGACATTCAGGATTATCAGCCAACTGTATTTTTTGTAGCACCTGCTCCAGTTCCAGATGAATTTGATCAACTACTTCATGACTTTTGGAAGAAGATAATTTCTGCTTCTTCGTCACACGATCAAATGCATCTTTAATGCTGTCCAACTCCATTTCTTAGACTAATACCTGTAAAGAAATTCCCATGTCAAACAAATTCGCTCAAGATCACAAATATTATTACCAAAAAATTGGAGCAGAAAGATATCAAGAAGCTAAAAAAGCCAGAGACAAAAATGTCAAGAAATACTAATAGAAAGGAAAGGAGGAGGGAAAAGAGAAAACATACAATATGCTATTAATTTATTACAGAGTTCTACTAAGGAAAGATAAGATCAGACTCTAAAGTAGAATCATTTACCTACTTTTTAGCTGAAAATCCAAATAAGTAATAGGAGAAAATCCAGTAGATTGTAATAGACCAAAATGTTTTCACCACTTCAGTTTCCCATATTATTTATTTTAGTACGAGTAGGGTTCCACAACCCTACTACCTTCATGGGAGGTTGTGAATGCCTAATTTGTTCAGCTCGGCTAAGTGGACAGTTTTCCACTTTAATAGACCAATGAGCTCCCAAGTTATTAGGATTCAACTGAGTTATGTACTAATTGAATAAAAAAAAAGTAAAGAACCCAAACCTACAGATCACTGGTCATCAAGAGCAAATATAACTATAAAGCGCTAACAGAGCTCAAATACAAGTCTTTCTCTTTGCCACTTTATTGGACTTACAGCTACAAAATCACATCTAACAATCCAAAAGTTAAAGACGTAACATCACTATCCCACTCCCATTTGCCACACCATTCAAATCACTGCCCTCTAAATCTTCCTCTTGGGTCTCATCACCATTTTTCTACCAAATCTATTGGAGAGAAGGAGAATCAAGTAAGAGTCAAATGAAGAACATGAACTAACAGTATTGATTTTCCTTTTCTTGGCTCAATTTAACCCTAGTTTAACAACAAATGCTGTAATAAAGCAATAATTGTGAACAATGTGAGGCACCACACCTACAGCCAGGAACAAAAGAGCATAGTTTGCTCAGGCGTTATAAAATAGCGATCAAGACATCCTGGGGTTCTTTACCAAATACTTGCTATGCATTTAATTCAAAAAGTTGGACCAATGAGCTCCCAAAATATCTAAACCCAACGGTATTTGCATGTTGTTTGAAGCCAAAATTAAATAAAGAATCTAAATCTACAGGTCAATAGTCATGAAAAACAACTCTAAATAAAAATACTTATTAGACTTCTTTTGAAAAGCTTGAAGTTCAAACACTTCTGCAGAATATGCATTACTACAGAGATCCTTCCCAATATTGGGAAAAAAACTCTACTTTCAATTTTCAATTAAGTAAAAGGCAACTGCACATTTAGAATATACTATAGACGATCATTTGCTTAAGACAACAGAAGTAGCAGAGCTGACTGAAGTCTATCCAGTGTCAATCACTTTTAACATTTTTTTTTTCTTTTCCCGAGGGTCAATCACTTCTATCTGAAATATACACTTCAAACACCAGATTAACAATAGATGAGGAGATAAGTGGTGGAAAAAGGGAAGGGAATATAAATCAATTTTCATTCTCAACCACAGTTTTGTTAAGGACCGATTTGGCAGTGGCACAAAATCTTCTGCAACAAGCTTAATGCATAAACAAGATCAAGTAATTGGGAGCCCAAGTGATAGTGAGATCAAATTACAGATGAGGAAAAACAATGTAATTGTACAGAATATATTAATCGATAATGAAGAGCTGTCACAAAAATTGTAAACTACATGAATATGTGGTATTTGAAGGTAAAATACCCGCGCAAAGTGTGTATACTAAAACTATTAAAATGAAATTTGTACCGTGAAAGTGCAACCATCCGAAACACTGGATATAAAGAAAATTAAATGGTAGAAACTGCTCCCTTCAAAATTTATAACGAAAGAAAAAGATACCGATGTCAAATACAATCTATCAGTCGATAATTACCTAGCGATTGAACAGTAGGTTTAACACAGAAACTACTAACATATGCACTAGACGATATCCAAAGTAAGACGATATAAGCCAGGGAAAAGAACTTCAAGGATAATGAACTAACTTGCACAACCCCAAAAATTAGGGAACAAAAGAAAACAAAACACTCAAAGCCAAAAAACACAAAAATCTATAATTCGCACTCCAAAAGAAGTTCCCAACATCTGTAATCACCTCGAAATCTTGATAAAGATATGTTCTTATGAAACCGGAACAAGTAAACATATAAAAAAAACAAAACTCAAAGACAAGAAATTGAAGGATTGGAATCAAGGCAAAGAAGAGATGCGAATCTGAAAATAGAAAGCGAGAGCAAATCGATTAAGATAGGAAAAGAAATTTATCCCGAAAAGAAGATGAATCTCGATTCAACAGAAATGCAAGAACATATAAAAATTAGATCTGAATATAGTATGAGGAAAATGAAGGGCATACATAGATCAGCAAGAAGAGGAGAGAAGAAACCTTGGTAGGAAGCAAGGACCCGAATGAGAGGGATTTTTCCCTTTCCGTTTCCGTATATAGCTTTTATATAAAATTGAAGAAAATACGGATAATTATGTTTTATTTATTTAAATAATTAATTGGCCCTCGCGATTGTATATATTATAAAGATTCTTCCAACAAAATAAATCTCAACTTGTCGTTATCTTTTTATTTATATGCAATTAGATTATTAATGTTCTAATAATTCATATTTTTTTAATAAAAAATTCTCTGGTTTTTATTTTACTTAAATTGTAAAAATCAAGTAATATTATTGGAGTTGGAATGTTAAAATGGATGCAATTAGTCATCAATTTTTTATGTGATACAACATTTCTTTCGATCTTTATTTATTTTTTTAAAATTATTTTAAATGTATTTTCTCGTTCACGTTTTCTAAAACATTTTTTTGCAAACGCGACTTGAGACTCGAGTATACACTAACGTTATTTGCGAAGTCTGAATTTTTCACGGACGACATGTTTGTTGGATTAGAGCAAATGCTGCACAATTATTATCCTGCTACTGCAAGAGTACGTATTCTACTACTGCAAGAGTACGACTGTGACAAGTGGAATTAGAGCTCCTTGTCAACTATTGAGCACTCGCTCCATGGAGAAATCAGAAGATTGTAATGGTAATTAGATAGAAAATTTGGCAAACTTATGGTATGGATCGTGTCAATTTGGTCAAATGTTTATGAGTAAAATGAATTCACGATTAGTGTTTTTATCCCAAGACTAATTTTAAAAGATATTAACCCATTGATTGATTGATTGATGGGTACTGAAATCAACGAACTGGATGAATTTGGCAACAATAAGCCAAAGCTTTCAACTTGGAACATCCTAGAACCATAAATACGCATTCCAGAAAAGCAAATAAAGCCAGGCATCATCTGCGGCAGCTTAATAACTCTGTGTTTTTAACACGACAAGAATGAAAGGGTAAGAAATATGTTAGTATTGAGCTGCTGTAGAGCACATCCAACTTCTCCATAACTAATAGAACGGGTTTAACTGAGAGAGTACCGAGGTTGTTCCATGTCGAAGCAATGAACAGCGTCTCTGATCCGAACTACGAACGACGTCATCTACTTCCATCGAACAAACGCTTCTCTTGAACAAATTGATTGTACTTTTCCTCGCCATAAAGTTTCCTATATATCATACACAAAATAAAAGATGGCATGATTAGCTTCCAACTAGCGTGCTATATCAGTTCAAATGCAATTAAAATTAAAATTAAAATGATCATGAAGAACGTCTAGCATCCCACAAGATGGCACTATTAATTATAAATTAACAGCAAAAAAAGAAAGAAAAAAACTTACGCTAGATCTGCCAATGTATCAGATTTTATCACGGCCTTTCCTTCTGGCAGTTCAAGGCAAGAATAATGCATTATCATTTCTTTTAGCGTGTGCTTTGTACTTTTGATATCATTGTCCCACAAGATGCTCTGAGTTCAACACAACAAATCAGTCGCTTCAAATTCAGTTCGTGAATGTGTGTCTGCATCTATATATTCTTACAAGGGCAGTGTACAGCTCTACAGCATCAACTCTAATTGATTCGTTGACTAAATGTACTGCGTACATGATATGTACCTCACCTTTCTAACATATTCTCTTTTCACCTCTTCCCATGGTAATTTGCCATCTGCAGAGAAGATTGAAGCGTTCCAAAGCGCTCCTCGAGCAACCATTACTGACGAAGCACCTTGAGCAATACCAAATTGTTTTAATATATAAAGCAAGAGATCATGAACGGACAACTAAAAACTTTAACTGCTTGAAATAGAATCTCAGTCAGCCCAACCATATTATTCGAAACGATCATATTCAAATAATATAGAGTTCAACCATATATGCAGGAATGAGGGTTCAAACTTTTAATCTTAGTTAAGTTATATTTTCAGGTTGGGATCATATTCAACCCATTCACTAAAAGAAATTCAGGCATCATCAAGAAATCCATAAAACAGTGCCTTTTGAGCAAACCTGTAGCAACTTTGATATGGTGAAAATCTTCGTACTCAAAGATATCACCGTTCGCAATAACCGGGACAGACAATGCTGCCACGACATCTGCAATCTCACTCCACTTAGCTGGATCTCTGGGCCTATCTGCAACTCTTCTGCAAGTTATCGAGCACGACTACAAAAACATATTAAAATAAAATGAAAACAAAGAGCACATACAAAACTTACAGAAGTATCACTTGGTATTTTTATTGGTATTTTTTATTTTTTATTTTTCCTTTTGTCTTTCTAACTGATGTAATACAATTCAGTGTCAACCCAAAATGATACCAACTGCCTCCTTTACTTATAAACAAGCGGCCTCTCACAGTAGTCTGCCCTCTGAGCATGCTTGGTAGCACATATTCTGCTTCCTAGAAATCTCTCAAACCTACTATCCCCTTATGAAAAAAAAAAAAACTGTAAGCCTTAAAATGCAAGAGACTCGTCCAAATTACTACCCTCCTTAAAGCATGAAATTATATCTAATAGTTTCTAGCTAATGAACGTCCACAAAATTACATCTAAATAACTAGCTAGTGAACGGACATATGACATATCTGCTTCTACCGTTTGAGACTTTCTTTCATTGTTCCGTACAACAGAATTCAATCTTTTAAGGTTGATACATATTTATCACCTCCACTCTCAGATAGCATGTTTAAGAAAACGTCAACAAATGTCAGTGTGGGCTTAAAATGAAATGACCATGTTAACTTTGAGAACAATGCACTAACATAGACGACCAAACCAATCCAATTTTACCAAGAAAGGGAAAAAGGATCAATTTGCATGAGAAGAACCATTCTCAATCGATTCCAGAAAGCATAAATTTCTTGAAGAAGTTCGCTAGTCCATGATAATATTAAATAGAAGGAAACTGCAGAAACCAGAAGATCACCTTCCATGAACAGCAAGAGCTGAAACGCCAGTAGTCTCTATCCGCCTAGCTAACTCCACTGTATCCTGAGATGAATTTAAAAGTCGAATCTTACAGGTAATTGGAATGTCCAAGTTCCTCCTCAATGTTGTCAAAATCTAAATTAAAAAAACATACAAATAAAAGGAGAATAGGTAAGTAACATGTTACAAATATAGAGGAGAGAGAATAATTTAGAAAACTATATCATTCGTAACGATAAGAATTGCATACATCATGAATAAGGTCTGGCTTCTTCAACAGTGCAGCACCCATGCCCCCACTGATGGAAAATGACTTAGGGCAACCCATATTGATATCTATTGCAGCAACGTCTTGACACCTAAAATGGAAAATTCTCCATCACAAACAATGGTAATTAAAGAAACATTCTTCTCTAACTAAAGACCTAATTCTCTCATATCATAAACAATGGCAATTCAATCAGCTTGAAATAACTAAGTTCCGGTTTGAAAACAGCTTTATTTTTGGTTTTCTGCATTTCAAAAATTATTGAATGTCTCCTCACGAGTTTTTAGTGAGTTTTTCTCCTTCTTTAACAACACATTTGATTTCTAGACAAAATTTCAAAAGAAAAATCAAGCTTTTTAACACTACTTTATTTTTGGTTTCCAAAATTTGGGTTGGAACTTTTAAATGTTTTTAGAAAATAGGTGATAAAGAAAAAAAAAAAAAGTATATGTGAAAACAGTGTTTACAGGTTTAATTTTCAAAACCAGAAAACCAAAAACAAAATGATTATCAAATAGGGCCTAAAGAAAGGATATACTTCCACAACAATATAGTACAAAGATGACACAGGACTTATAATAAGTAAACCAAGCAAAGCAATAAAACAGAGAACGCTGAAGTACAAATAGCTTGCACCACAAAACCTAGCAATATAATGCAACAGCTCACAGAAATCAACTTTCAGTTACTAAGAGAACATTTAAAAGCATCAATAAATAACCCATTCTTACAGCCAAATTGAATAGGAACTCTCTCTTAATTTGCCAAAATTTTGTACCACAGGTTCCATCTGTCATAATAGCAACCACTGGATGTTGCTTTGGCAGACAAACTGAACAAGTTTGGCTAAACCTTAACTAAAAGCCTATAGCCGAGGGAAAGACAAAGAAAACAAACAGTTTCTAGGAACAAAAACCTATCATACTGTTTATTCACACAAAATAGACCATTTACCCACATCCAATCTTGAGTAGCAATCTATGCCTAATCAATTAATAGGTTTCATTTTGTAAGAAATCGGACTGAAAATTTCTTAATTGTTCCCAATTAGTACCTAATCAAAACCCACAATGAAAGAGAACAGGAAATAATCAACTTAGCCAGTAGAATCTCACAACGTAATCACGAGCATCACATGAAATTGAATAAAAAAGAGAACTAGCGACTAAAAATTAAGTTCTATCCATAACTGAGCCTGTTAAGAAAGAAAAATCATGTCCATCCCGTTAATTGAATAACTTTTAAAAAATAGTAAAAGTACTACCAAAATTTAGTTCGATCTATGACAGAGCCTATTAATAAAGACACTTAGTTGCAGGATAAAAAAAATGATTACAAATTTGTGCAAAGTAAGGAACAGGCAGGCTGGGACTTGATACTCGCAGGATCATAAAAGCATCAAACTTGCAAGAATTAGGCTGTATAATCAAAGAAAAATTGGGAGTAACGAACTTACACTAGTTGAGCAGCACTTAAAGCCCTCACAGCATTAGAAGTACCCATTTGAAAAACAACTTCATTTTTTTCTAGGCTGCAAGTCCTGAAAACAACATTGTCTGTCCCCTTTTCTACGAAATCGACTGCACCAACGTGCTCTAGATGACAAAGAGAAGTATCAGAAGTTTTATAATTGGTGAAGAAAAAGGAAAAGGCTATGCTTATTGTGACCTTCATTTTCTCAGCCACTTACCAAGCACAACATTTTTTCTTCTAATTGAACTCGTATTTATAGAAGAAAGGTAAAAATTCCAACATATTGTTTGGGCTTTGGATAAATAATTGAAAGATGGATAAATGATAGTGTCCAACAAACACATTCATAAATATCAATAGAGAATGAGAAAAGGCCTGGATTTCTCCCAATTTCGAAGTTATGGGTGAAGTCAACAGATCATTTTATCAGATCGAAGTTCCATTTTAGTGCCCCCTAACATAAAGGCGAGTTTTTCTAGGTGGGTGCATTTCCACGGCCTGCGTTCATTTTTGTGTCCGTTCATATCGCAAAGCTTTTCTTAGTGAAAAAGACTTCATACGAACATAGTAACACTTGTATTTCATGATTTTTGCACTTAGTGAAAAAGTACAATTGAAAACCAATACCTTAAAAAAAACTTCCACAATAGAGAGGAGGAAAAGTACCATTTATCCTACGCTCGCATTTGATCATCTTATGGTCAATAATTTCCTCTCCATAGGTGATGTCTGCACCGTATTGTGCAGCTAATAATCTAAACGGCAAAGTCCCCTGAAAACAAGAAGGACCAATCACAAAAGACTACACGAAAAAGGTTTAATTGGCGGGAATTTTGCAAGAAATAACTACGATTGAAAGATATACTGATAAAGCAAGCAGAGGAACCTAAACAATACGAGCTAAGCTAAATCCCATAACATAGCTTGACATCTAAACCGAAACAATCGAGCGAGAATTATGCAAGAAATAACTCCTAAGATTAAGAGAGATACTCGACTAAGTAACAAGAACAACTCAAGCAGTGGATACAATAATTTCGTCGAACTTACTACGCGAACCATGGGAGCAAGGACGAGCTTGTTCTCGTAGTCCATCTCAACCGTGAGCGGTCGGACCAGAAAATCAAGCAACTATTTCTACGTCTTCTCCTCCGGCTAACTGTAGGCCGGAAAACTGAAATGTAGTACAGAGTTCACAATGGGCTGGACTTTGACCTGGGCTTTCGGTCTATTTGTTCATTCTCTTTTAAATCTCTATTTCCTTACTTAAATTGTAACTATGCCACCAAGCTGGACATTTTATTTTTTGGGCTTTACTTTTCATGTTTCTTCTCCGGCGGCCTTTTAGTACTCGTTCCTTTCTCTAATCAGCTTGGGATCTCACGATCCAACTCGTGTCTTTCTCCAATCCTCGCTGGCACACTGTTCCATGCCTAACTCTGATATCATTTCTAATGGCTCAAGCCTAGTGCGAGCATATATTGTCTTCTTTAAAATTTTCTCTCAATGTTTTTAATACACGATTGGAAGAGAGTCACTCTTATAAATAATGAGTTATTCTCCTCCTCAATCAATGTATAATCTCACAATTCATCCCTTCAAAAAACAGCGTCGTACTCATTTCTCTCTCCTGATATCTCACCTATTAATTACACATTCTTAATATTTTATATAACTATCCATATTCCAATTTCTAAAGTTTAAATTTTCTAATATTATGAAGTAATAATCAAAATAATAATATTAAATAAAAGGCTAAATTAACCATCTATTTTATTTTTCAGCGAAAGAAATTCAATCCAAAAATTTATGCGATAGTTTAGATTTATACGACTCAACGATTTTAATTTATGAATTCTTAAAATGTGTGTTATATTGTATCTTAACTCTTTAAGAATTTAATAAGTATTGTTATATTTGACGACCACGAAAAAAAAAAACTGTCTATTTGAATATTTTATATTATGTCCAAAACAAGTAAAAATAAAAAGGGCTGAAAGTAAATAAATAAATAATTGTCGGGTCAACATGAAAAATTCTGCATCTTCCCAACAATCAGGTGGGTTGACCTTATTTGGCAAAAGACCAAAGGAAGAGATTACAATGATTCCGAGACCACCGGATCCTACATTCCCAAAATACAAACTTTATGCCCACCCGTGTATGTCGCACGTGTCTTCGTCCCTAGTTAGGCCTTTAAAAAGGCATCCATCCGCACGACACTAATCACGCATTCATCAAACTTCTTCATTCTTTTCAAAGCCTCTAAAGAACTGTTCATAGCAAGGAGATGGCCGATAAGAAGATGGCGAACGGGAGCGGGAATGAAGTTTGCCACGACGACAGCTCGTCGCCGATCAAGGCTCAAACCATCGACGAACTTCATTGCCTACAGAAGAAGCGATCGTCACCCAGTACTCCGATCGACTCGTCTCCCGGCGGCGTCTCCGCGCTTTCCGAAGAAGATCGCCAAAGGCAACAGCTCCAGTCAATCAGGTACAGACAAAACCACGATTTGTTTTGCCGTATGATAATATCATTAATTTAATATTTATTTGGTTGGAATCCAGTGCTTCGTTAGCATCGTTGACAAGAGAAACCGGGCCGAATGTGGTTAAAGGAGACCCGGCCCGGAAAACCGGAAGCTCCAAGGTTGCACACATGGCGCAGCATCAACTCGTACCCACCATTAATATCAGCGACAGCTCTATGAAATTCACACACGTGCTTTATAACCTCTCCCCTGCAGGTTTTAAATCGATATTTAAATATTTTATTATACTGTATGAAATGACGTCATAGTTAAGGTGAACGTAGACGGTGTCGTTTTACAGAGTTGTACGAGCAGGCCATAAGGCATGAGAAAGGGTCGTTTATGACATCCACTGGAGCATTAGCGACGCTGTCGGGAGCGAAGACCGGGCGGTCTCCGAGAGACAAGCGAGTTGTTAAGGATGAGAATACCACAAAAGAGCTCTGGTGGGGAAAGTAAGTAATAAACGACACCGTCTTAGATTGATTTCCTTAACTAAATTACGTCCTCATCTCTTATTTGTTATGGGTTGCAGGGGATCTCCAAACATTGAAATGGATGAGCACACTTTCATGATCAACAGAGAGAGAGCCGTCGATTACTTGAACTCTCTCGACAAGGTCTTTGTCAACGACCAATTCTTGAACTGGGATCCCGAGAACAGAATCAAAGTTCGAATTGTCTCTGCCAGGGCTTACCACTCGCTCTTTATGCACAACATGTATGTAAATTAGGAATCACGAATTTTCACAATAGTATAATATTGTCCACTTTAAGCATAAATTTTTTATCGCAGGTGTATTCGACCAACTGACGCAGAGTTGGCGAACTTTGGGCGACCAGATTTCACTATATACAACGCTGGGCAGTTCCCATGCAACCGTTTCACTCATTACATGACGTCGTCAACCAGCATAGATATGAATTTGGCAAGGAAGGAAATGGTGATCCTTGGAACCCAATACGCCGGTGAGATGAAGAAAGGGTTGTTTAGTCTCATGCATTATCTCATGCCCAAGCGAGAGATTCTCTCCTTGCATTCTGGCTGCAATATGGGCAAAAACGGCGACGTAGCCCTCTTCTTTGGATTATCGGGTATGCCATAACGTGTTAACCCTCCTAACACCTCAATCCATCAACTTTTTAACGTTAATATGTTTATTTTAGGGACGGGAAAGACTACTTTATCGACAGATCACAACCGATATTTAATCGGTGATGACGAACATTGTTGGACTAACACCGGCGTATCGAACATCGAAGGAGGTTGCTATGCTAAATGCATCGACCTTTCTCGTGAGAAAGAACCCGATATTTGGAATGCCATCAAGTTCGGAACCGGTAATAATAATAATAATAATAATAATTTTTAAAGTATTTAATCTTGGTGATTAACCTCGCTAAAATTACTTGGATTGACAGTGTTGGAGAATGTAGTGTTCGAAGAGCACACTAGAGAGGTTGACTATTCGGACAATTCAGTTACAGGTATAAATGAGTTAGACATTAATTAAATTAAATTTATTATTATTAATTATTTAATGTTTTTTTATACAGAGAACACCCGAGCAGCGTATCCAATCGAGTACATACCCAACGCTAAGATACCATGTGTGGGGCCGCACCCAAAGAACGTTATATTATTGGCTTGCGACGCATTTGGTGTTCTTCCCCCCGTGAGCAAGCTCAATTTGGCTCAAACCATGTACCATTTCATAAGTGGATACACTGCATTGGTAAAAAAAAATCACTTTTTTTACGGTGTGACTTTATTTTTTTTACTGTTGGAATTGAGTGAAATTGGAAATTATAGGTGGCTGGAACTGAAGACGGCATAAAAGAGCCACAAGCGACATTCTCGGCTTGTTTTGGCGCGGCTTTCATAATGATGCATCCGACCAAGTACGCCGCCATGCTCGCCGACAAGATGCGGAAGCACGGGGCAACTGGCTGGCTCGTCAACACTGGCTGGTCCGGCGGCCGATATGGCTCCGGTAGCCGTATTAAGCTTTCTTACACCAGAAAAATCATCGACGCCATTCATTCCGGCGAGCTCCTGAAAGCCCAGTTCCGTAAAACTGAAGTTTTTGGACTTGAAATCCCCGCCGCCATTGAAGGAGTTCCGTCCGAGATTTTGGACCCAATGAACACCGTAAGAAAAGTGGCATTCAATTACGCTATGGGTAGTGAAATATTTGCTTACATTTATCGCTGATTTTGATTTTGGGGTTTTTGCAGTGGTCGGACAAGGGTGCGTATAAAGAAACGCTACAGAAACTGGCGACTCTGTTCAAGAACAATTTTGAGACATTTACGAATTACAAGATTGGCACAGACAATACTCTGACAGAGGAAATCCTTGCTGCTGGTCCCAAATTTTAATATATATATAAAGCTGTTGCTGACGTGGAAAATGAATAATTTATTTTCTTTTTTGGTTCTTCCAATTTTGTTTAGGAAGCTTTTTTGCTTCTGTTTCCATTTGTATTCCAGAGGCAAAGAGTTAGGAAATAAGGGAGACATATTTAATGCAATATATTTTATGCAAATTCTGAAGAATTGTTTTCTTGATTTGCTTCTTATTATTATTTTATTGACTGTCTGAATCGATCAAATGGGTAAGTCTAAATCAATTTCAATACCATAAAAGTTGTGTCGTGGAAGTATAATTTGATCCATAAATATGTAATTATAATCTTATTCAAGTTTAGCCCAAACCACAATTCTAATTAATGAGGTATGATAACTTTTAAATTATTGTGTCCAAACTCTTCTACAAACAATGCCACCTGATTTGTTATGACTCAATTTCTATAAAATTTAGATTTTTAAAGTTGTTGTGTAATTAAATTAGTAATAGAGAAATTAATAAAAATCAATCATAATGTTAATATAAAAATCAATCGTAATTAAATTATAATTTATAGTTTTTACCTGCTAAATAATGCGATTGACTTATGTTTATTTATAGCATTTTTTTATTAATCTAAAAAAAGATCCATTGTCATTTATTTTTTTTTCAACGTTGTGAAAAATTTATGTAGCATTCAAATTACAATAAGACAATGAAATGGCACAAAACTAATTTTTAAAGAAAATCTGCTTCCATCTCAATAACGCCCTAAAGGGTACATTGTACATAAATAAGATGGAAGAACTCGGCAAAAAAAAAAAAAAAAAATCAAATGTTCGAAGAATATAAAATTAAAATATAATTAACATTTGGGTGAGAGCTTTAAACTTCAATAAATAAAATCAAAATTAATGATTTAAAAATTGATAAATTATTTTAAATTGTTTATATCCATCATAATAAGAAAAATTTAAAAGAGTGCATTTGGTTATTTTTGTTTGAACCCTAACTTGAAAAAAAAAAAAAACAATGACGCAAATTTTAAATATGACATTAAAATAAAAATAAAAAGACTAATTTGCTCCCATATTCTATGATAAACCTTGATATTTTAATTAGGAAAATTTATAGATTTGAAATTATTGTGTGAAAGAATTTTATTTTACAACCAATCAAATATATTTTAAATTAACAGAAACTAATTTATAAATTTAAACATAGCTGTTTATGTCGGAGGGCAAATTAGTAAACTTGAATACATTGGTATAAAGAAAAGTAATGTATTTATAATTAATTAACTTTCGAAGGAAGTTAAGGTGACTAGGATAATTTTGGGCCGAGCGTGGAAGCAATCCTCGTAAAATGGGCCGAGCGTGAGGTCCAAATACTTATACATTTGGGCTAACCAATTGGCCCAATAAGACGCACGTACAGAACAGCGTGCCGCGTAACCTAAACGCGGATTAGCAAACAGCGAGAGAGAGGGAGAAAAATGGAAGTAAAGCGCGCAAAAACTGAAATTACGCGGAAAACGATGAATTATTGGACGAAGTTAAAGAAGGAAAAAAAGGGAGGGATTCCTTTTTGGCTTTAATAATGAATCTTTGGAAACTCATTTTTGTAAACGGACCAACGAGGCCTCCGCATACTCGACTCCCCCGGACTCACAATATGAATGGATCACGACGCCCCCAGCGCACGTTAGTACTGCCCCCTTCGCTTCTCGCCCCTTCTGCTTCCGCTCCCTATTATATCTATCTTACCCCCGCGAAACCCCCTTTTTCCCGTTCGCCATTGGAATTCGTCTACACATCTCCACACTTCTCCTTTCCCCGCCTTGTTCTCCATTCTTTTTGCTCGATTTCGCCAAGGGTTCCATCCGATTCGAGGCTCTCTTGATCCTTTTTAGGTAATTTTTTTTTCTTGTTCGATCTGGATCTGGTTTTGATTGTTTGATTCATTCGATCTCGATTTGTTTTTTTGCGATATTTTTGTTTTACGTTTGGTTTGTTCAATGATTTTTCTTTTTGGGATTAGAGATCTGCCATTCCGATTTCGTCTGTTTTTTTTTTTTTTAATTATTAGGGTTAGGTTAGATTTGGGTTGATTGATTGAGTTCGATCTATTCTTTCGTTTTTTTTCCCGACGCGTTTTTGTTCTTGCAAGATCGATCTCGTTGTTGTCCCGAATCTTCTTTTTCGCGTAATCGAGTTCGTTCATTTGAGTTCTATTTTTAATCGCGATTTTTAGTTCAGTTTTCTCTTTTTTGGATTGGTTTGGTAAGATAGGCCTAGGGGGTTCTTACGTCGGATTGAGGAAACGATATTTCAACGGGCTATAAGGTAATTTTGATTCGAAATTTAGTGTAATTATCGATGAGATGATGTTATTTATTGTAATGCAGAATAATCTCTACTTTTTCTGAAGCTTTTAAATTGATGGAATTCTGAACCACTCTACGTTTTGATGTGTGGAGAATTCTCATTCAGATTCAGAAGACGCTTTTAAATAATATCATTAATTGACATGTTTATTTATTTTCCCTTTGAGATTATATTTCCTTCTTGTGGTTTTGTATTTAGAAGTGTGAATGTTACTAAGCTCTCATGCTTGCTTTTAGAAACATGGGATGACATCTCGAATGATGTTAAAAAACATACATGTTTCGTTTCTTTTGGGGATTCTTGGAAAGTTTATACCATTAATCTTGTTGTGTTGCATAGATGGAACATTCGATGGAAGACTATGAGGATTATGATGAATATGAAGATGATGATCTAATTGATGACGGGGAGGAGGAATATGAAGAGGTAGAGGACCCTAAGCCTACCAAGGAAGAATTAGAATACCTTGCACTAAGGCAACGGCTGAAAGAAAAAATTAGAAAGCAGTCAAAAAAAGATGGTGGATCTCACTTGAGGTCTAATTACAAGAAGCTTCCTTATGACAAGTAAGTTGCAGTCTGAAGCACGACATGATGGAATTTTGGTCATAACATGTTTGTTCATTTATTTTGTGATGTTTTCATGTTGGTAGCTTATAGTGTTGAAGTTAGTTCAGTATTAAAGTGGTTGTTGTCCTATTACACGATAAGGGACATAGATAATTATGAAGCAAGTGTAACTTACATTTGAATTAGTGGTGCATCTTTGAATTGTAGGTATATCATGTTTTTTTAATGATATGAATAGGAGACTAGTAGTTTTGGATCTTAGATTGCTGGGAAGTTTTTGAAACATCTATTGCAAGGTTTTCTTGTGTGTCTTTTCTCCTTTTATTTTCTATACAGCTGTACCAGCAGTTGGTTGCTGTAGCAGTGAAAAGAGCTTTTTTTTATAATAATTTTTCATGAACCAAAATGCATGTTACTTCCAACTATACACCTCTATACCAACTCAAATTTGATGTTAATTCCTGAAATTTTTATTTTAATCGCTGCAGTTTTGGTTCATTCTTTGGACCTTCTCAACCTGTCATTTCTCAAAGAGTAATTCAAGAAAGCAAATCATTATTAGAAAACCAGCACTTGGCATCTAGGGTTTCTGACCACGTTCATGATGTAAGTATCTTAACCTCGGTTTCAATTTTGTGTATTTATGTGTGTAAAAGACAGATAGGAGAGTTTTTTTTTTCCTCAATATAAATATTTTAAAAAATCGGTTGTCAGTTGACCATGTTTTGATTCCTTTATTACTGAGCTACCTTGAACATTGAAATCATGTATTGGTATACTCTTTCATAACACAGTTTTTTTTTTTTGTTTAATTTGATTCAATTTTCTGTTATTTCTAAAATTGCTGTGTTTGTTAACATATTTATTCCGTGTTATTTGTGACTGGCTGTTTCATCACAAGTAGACTTAAATGTTCAACTAATTGTTAGAACTGAATGTGGGAAAAGATTTTTTTTTTACACAATCTTTTGCATTTGCAATTTTTAATTTTGATTGCATTTATTAATGGTCTTTGAAGAATATTAGCCCTGATGATTAGGCTTGTGCTGGCAGAATAGGAAGAGTCCAGGTTCAAACAGTGTAGCTTCAAAGCCAAGGGTACCACCAAAAATCATAAATGAGGTACTTTGGCATTACTTTGTTGCATTATACACACTCACTATTTTCCCCCTCATCCACATTGTTGGATTTGATGGATATTATGAACTATCATACAGAAGAAAACGAAAGTTCAAACGTTGAAGGACACCAGAGACTACTCCTTTCTATTTTCTGAGGATGCAAATGTTCCTGCTCCTGCAAAGGAGTCCTCAGCAAGTGTTTTTGCTCCAAGTACTGGTATGTTTCTGTTCAATCGTGTTGATTGTAGTTGTCAGTTTTTAATTTTTTAAAAAATTTAAATGTGCATAAAAATGGAAGCTTATTATTGTTTCTTTGACTCTTTTTTAGAGGCACTTTCAGCTCATGTTCTCATTAAAAGTAAACAGCCTCAGGGTAATCCTCGTCAGAATATTCATGTCAGTCAAAATGTTAAGAAATCTGTTCCTATGAATGGCCAAATGCAGTCCAAAAACAAGTCAGTATCTTCTGGCAATCCTAATTTGTCAATGATGAAGGTTAAGAGACCATTGGGTAATAGCAACAACGGGAATGGTCCTGGCCGGCCAATGGGTAATAGCAACAACGGGAATGGTCCTGGCCGGCCAATGGGTAATAGCAACAACGGGAATGGCCCCGGCCGGCCAATGGGTAATAGCAACAACGGGAATGGTCCCGGCCGGCCAATGGGTAATGGCAGCAATGGAAATGGTCCTGGTCGACCTGTGGGTAATGGCAACAAAGTGAATGGTCCTGGTCGGCCTGTGGGCAATAGCAACAATGGGTATGGTCCTGGTCGGCAAATGGTGGCGCCAAAAGCCCCATCTGCTCTCATGCAGAAGAAACCTCTACCAACTTCAAAGAGTCCTGTACCTGGTGTGCACAGACCATTACCGGCCAAAAAGCTTGAAGATAAGAGGAATGAGATGCGACCACCTTCTAAGGCCAAAATAGCACCAAATCGGCCAGTCTCATCAT